GTATGAACTCTTTTTCTCCAGTGTGGAATAAAACATGCAGCTTCAGAAAAGAAAGAGTAATGCTAGTGTTAATATTTTTCTCACTCCTGAAGGTTTCTCATTAGTTCCTTTGTGCTCAATTTTATATTCTAGATTCATAGAATCACAGAATAATTTAGGGTGGAAAAGACCCTTAAAGATCATTAAAGTTCAACTGTTAAACCAGCACTGGCAAGTCCACCACTAAACCATTCCCCAGGTGCAACATCTAAATGCCATTTAAATACCTCCTTTTTCCTTGGGCAGCTTTCCAGCCACTGTCCCGAGCCTGTAGCTCTGGAGGAGATGATTGTGACCCAAGTGCAGAACCCAGCACTTGGCCATGTTTAATCTCACATAATTGTCCTTAGCCCATCGATCCAGCCTGTCCAGATCCCTCTGCAGAGCCTTCCCACCCTCCAGGAGATTGACACTCCAGCCCAACTTGGTGTCATCTGCAAAATGACGGGGGGTGCACTCGATTCTCTCAGCCACGCCATCAATTAACATATTAAACAGAGTTGTCCCCAGTACTGACCCCAGGGAACACCACTTGTGACCAAACACCTAGCAGATTTAGCTCCATTCACCACCACGCTCCAGGCACAGCCACCCAGCCAGATTTTTTACCCAGTGAAGAGTGCACTTGTCCAAGCCATGAACAGCCAGTTTCCCCAGGAGAATGCTGTGGGAGACAGTACCAAAGGCTTTACTACAATCCAGGTAATTCAACATCTCATCCTTTCCTTCATTACTAAGCAGGTCACAGGAGGAGATGAGGTTAGTCAAGCAGGACCTGCCTTTCATGAGACCACGCTTGCTGGGTCTGGTCCTCTGGTTGTCCTGCATGTACCACACAATGGCACATAAGATGATCTGCACCATGACCTTCCCCAGTACCAAGGTCAGACTGACAGCCCTGTAGTTCCTCATAACTACCTTCCAGCTCTTCTTGTAGCTGGGTAGCACATTTACTAACCCGCAGACTCCTGGGACCTCTCCAGTTGGCCAGGATTGCTGGTAAGTGATTGAAAGCAGCTCAGTGAGCACTATTCTCTGCTCCCTCAATAACCTTGGGTGGATCCCATCTGACCCAACAGAGCCATGTATCTCTCAGCAGTGTAGCAGGCCATTGATCTTCTTCCCTTGGATTATGGGGGCTTCATTCTGCTCCACATCCCTGTCTTCCAGCTCAGGGGGCTGCGTGCCCAGGGAACAACTGGTCTCACTATTAAAGACTGAGGCAAAGAAATCTTCAACCACCTCAGCATTTTTCCCACCCTTTATCAATATGTTTCCCCTCTGTCCAATAAAACATGGAGGTTCTCCTTACCCACCTGTTATACCCTGGTCCAGAAGCTTCAAACTCTTACCTGGTGTGCACTTTAATTTTAGACTTCAAGAGATTTCACTCACACGAACCCTTGCAAATTCGTTGATTCTTTGATACCTTAAGTTAACGACTGGAGAAAAACTCACATTTTCCTCTAGATTTCTTTTAATTTGGGGAGAAAACAAGTGTTTTGGCAAAAAGAGTTTTACAGAAATAGCATGCAAGTTCCCCAAAGCATTACAACAGATTACTGAGGCTAGCAAGCATTGCTGTAGCAAGGGAACCTTTGTTACACCCACCAAACACAAACTCCATACAGCTTAAGTGAGACACTTGCAAATTAGGCGAAAAACAGAAAATAGGTGTTTAAGTTGCCCACGGGACAAAATGAAGAGAGACTATGAGAAGAAAGAATAGAGGCAGAAAGAAAGGAGAGAGAGATACTCCCCACCCTGGAGGTCAGTTGCTGGGGAGATGAAGAACAGCTGCCTGGCCTATGTAGAGCCTCTGGCCACTCCCCCTAGGCGGGACCTTGGGCTCCCTGCCACTCACTGTCCCCCTAGCCAAAGTGAGGAGTGCCACAGCCACCCAGAGGCTCTGGGGGAGTGGTGTGGGTGGGCCACCTGATTGACAGCCCCCGCCCATGGCTTTCCGTGCCATGTGCTCTGCATGGGCACAGCCAGGTTGGCTCCGGTCTCTGACACCCTCCCTTTCATGTCTAATGTATTTATAAAATATCTGGGTTTTGTATTTTATGGCAGTAGACAGATTAAGTTGGGCTTTGGCCCTTCTAATTTTCTCCCTGCATACTCTCACAACATCCTTGCAGTCCTCCTTGCTTGTCCCTTCTTCCAAAGGTCATAATTTTTTTTTTGAGTTCCATCCAAAGCTCTCTGTGCAGCCAGAATAGTCCTCCATTTAAGGCAAGAATAGAGCTTAATCCTAGAGCTTGAATTAAACTAGACTCCCCTTTTCTGACTGACAGAAGCTTACATTTTGGCACATGAAGATGGCCTTTTTCTGAGTCTATGAGACTTCCTTCCTGAAAAATTCCTTAATACTCATATTATCATAATACTTATGAGGTGGTGGTAGAAGTAGGAAGCATTCAAGAGACAGACACCATTAGCTCTTATTTCAACATACTATATTTTGATTCTGAAGGCAAAATTAGGATGTGTTATTAAAAACATGGATTTCTTTTACATATAACTTTGTCTCCTGTGTTAGATAAAGCATTACTAGTCAAATATTAAATGAATATATGTTGTACCCGAAGTTCATACATCTGAGTTATTAAGAGGAAATAAAAGCAGTTAGCAAAAATAACATTTGAAATAATAGGTTGATTCAAAATTCCTGCCTCCATTTGTGAAGGAGATAAATAAGTACTGGTTTTAGTTGTCAAGTTGTGTATCCAGATCTGGGAAGTCATTTTGACTTTAGTCAGTCATATCAACCTCCATTTGTATTCAAAGGGACTCTGAACTCACAGTAGATTCCTTCAAGGGGTAAAGTTCTTGGAAGTTACTGAAAGTTACTGAACAGGTTAACAGAATATTAAGATATAAGCATATTCACACACCAAAAAAAAAATCTTCCTTATTTCTTTATCAGGTAAAATGTGGCCTTTTTAAGTACTTGCTTGTACAATACTGAAGAGGGCAATTTTGAGTTACTATCTCAGGTTATAAGTATATAGAGATAAAGTATTTTTTCTGCCTTTCAATGTGTGAAGTCCAGTGTGCTTGCTCAGAGATTTGAAAGTGCTGCTATAAGAGAATTTCTACCTGTTTTACGTAGTAAACCAAAATTATGGAGAGTCTTCTGTAGCTAATTAGTTCAGGAAAGAAAAGCAGGAAGTTTTCAAAAAGTAGAAAAATTTTACTTGTATTATATTTTTTAAAGGAAGATAGAAGAAAATAACAATATTGCAATGGCAGCATTGTTCCAAGAGGGAAAAACAAAAAACAACTCTTGGAAGGAAGTGGGGACTCTATTTACTTTTTTGATTCACATAAATAAAAATGCATTTTCCTCTGTAACTAGTAAAATGATAAAAGTATAAAACTGTTTTTACTGAAACTCATCTGTTTGCTATAAGTGGTGTGCAGGTGAGTGAGTTTCTTGTGGTTTGTTTTTCATTTTTTTTTTAAGAAATGTTTGCTTTCATGGAGCATTAAGGGCCTCTGTGGTTTAGAATTCCACCCATGTTACTATCACTTGTATCTAGTCAAGGCATATAGAATAAGCAATGCCTCATTATAACTCCATTTCTGGATGATGTATTAATGGCTGCCATGAATGTGACAGAAATACATTAAGGATACTTTTGCTTAAATTTGAAAAGCAGGAATCGGAGACATGCTTTAGAAACTGCTCACACCTTACAAATCAGAAGTATTTTCTGAAGCCTGACCCATGTGTTCCTAAAGGCACTGGTTTCAATGAAAGCTAAACTACTTTGCCCATTAGGAATTAGTTTTAGAAACTTTAGAAAAACTACTGAGACTTAAATTTGAAGATTAAAACCAGATTTTGTGAAGACATATCATAACTTAACTGTGCATCTCTAGATTTCATGTTATTCCTCATATAATGATAAGCAGAGACACGCTTCTGGAGTTTATAATTGATTCAAGTATTTAACCTTAAAGACCTTGGCCAAATTTTAATATATTTCCCAATGATATCCACAGTATTAAATTTAGGATTTCATTACATTATTCATGACACTATTTTACTGTATCATATGATTTTTCCTGCACTGGAACTAGAATACCTACATTACATTTTGCTGAATTTAAAATAAGCCAGGTACATTGTCTTGGTCATGCTAACAATATTGCATTAAAAAATATATAATAAAAATCAAGATTCTGACCTGTTAATCTGTTAAAAGCCAAACATGTCTCTTCATACTCTTAGTTCTAACTTTCTTAGACATCTTGTCCTATAATCTGTCTTCCCCATTGCCTAGAGCTGCTTTGGCTCTCCTGTTATGAAGCTGATTTGCTGTCAGAATATTCACTTGATTCTCTTTCAGACTTTGTAACAAGCAGGGAACCACCACCTTACTACTGGTTAAACAACAAAATACTAAGGAAAGAGCCACCCAACAGATGCAATTCTAGAGATGGACTGCCCCCATACGCACTCTGTATGCTCTTAACCCCACAGTCTCTCCTACACTGTCATTAGCACACATTCATGATAATTTAAGGAATGAGCTGGATGCTAAGTATTTTTATCATTAAGAAATTCAGAGTCTGTTACATCCATTAAGTTGCAAGAATATAATTTTTGTAAGTTTTATGTCTACTTATTTGTAAATATCAGATATCAGCATCTCCAAATGAAGCGTTTAGGAATAATCACTACCAGTCATATACCCCAGTTTAATGAGACCTCATAAAGCAATTACTAACTACATTCAAAACCAAAGACAGACAAGGATGAGGATATATATTCAACTTATTTCTGCAATTATTAGCAAGTAGAAATAAACTCATGCATATATGACAAAGGACTTCCCAGAGGTGTCCAAGTCCTTAAACAGAAAAGGGTATCCTTTCTTTAATGGTAAACCATGTTAAAGCATTTAAATGACATCCACGATGCATAAGGGAATGCTGAGAACATTTCTTACCTTCAGTGTCTCCTTTTGCTTTCTTGGGTATCTAAAACACAACTCCCATCCAAAGTAGTTTACCAGCACTTCTAATCCACTCCATATGTGAAGCTGCAGCCAGTAGTCTCTGTCTGTCCAAGATTCAGATCCATAAACAGATCTTTAGGGAACAGAAAAGTGCTTGGTTTATTTTAGAAGGCAGCCAAAGAACACATTATTGTCACCTCTGACCTTTATATGAAGTAGGTTGAAGAAGGGAAAAGCTGCTTCACATACTCTCCTTTCACCGCTAACTCTCATGTTGACCTTTCAGCAGTCCTGTCACAGTAGGAAGACTCAGGGAAGGCTAAGCTAGGGGCACAATCCATACTGTTTCTTTCAATAAGCAGCAAGAAGAAACTATTAACAAAATTAGATTGCAAGCACAGTAAAGGAGAGCATACTATCACAAACTGGTAATAGATTTTTGTTTCCTGTTTGGCAGGATTACGTTCTATCTTTTGCCAAGGGCTGCTGAGGCAGGTAGAATTACAGATGCAGAAACCAAAGTCCTGCTCATCATGGGGCCTCTTTCTTGATTTATCTGTTCTACAGGACCTCAGCTTCAATAGGAGAAGCTAAATTATCATTTGTCTATTTCAGTCAAGATTATAATTTAGGGCTTAGATTTAGGAGACATGAATAGAAGTTCTAAATCCTATGCTCTTATTCAATGCACCCGCTATAAATTAAACAGACAAGAGTCCTCAGCTTTAACACAGTTAATGATCTTTGGAGATCCTCAAAACCCAGCTATGCCCTCAGCAACCTTCTTTGGGTAACCATTCTTAAAGATGCTCCGTATTTCCCTTCCAAAATCAAACATTCTGTGAATTTACTTACTGCCTTCTTAGTCAGAGCAAGCAAAAAGTTTCAGCAACCACAATAAAACCACTGGACCATCAACCAGCCCTGTCCTTTCTGCTTGCAAAGAAAATTCCAAGATGAGCTGAACCAGTGACCACTGTCCTTCCCTGGCTCTGAACCTGTCTCTTGGACAGCATCACATCCAAGTTTGCTTCCCAGTGATGTGGCAACACTGTGTGAAGGTCACAGCACAGAACACATGTGCTTCTAATTTATTTAAGCACACTTATGAAGATAATCCTTTGCATATGATTACTGAGCATACAGAAGGGACATAGGATGAAGAAAAATTCAGGAAGCAGTGCTCTTTTCCCAAAAGGGGGGAAGAAGGGCCTGACACTGTCAAGCATAAACAGTGACAACATGCATTACCTATAATCAAGTGGCAATGCAGGAACAATTCTCCCTTCTTCCTTTCTTCCCATGCCTGAAGAGGATGTAACTGCTTTTTATATTCTATCATTTTCTCTATGCTTCCACAAAAAAATGCAGTATTTCACATATTTGTTATTTTCTTTGTTGTTCCCTAGAAACACTTTCGCACATCTTGAACTTGCACTCTTTAAATGACCGGTAATTTACCATTGGTAGTTCAGGTTTGTACTCTTGGTGCTGCTGATATTGTCCTGTACTTGTGCTATCAAGGCTTTTGCTATCATCCTGTGGCTGTGCTCTCATCAGACCTTGCTATAAGATGAACTGGAGGTGAATTCCTGACTTTCAGCCAATTTCTTCTCCTTACTTTGTGACTTGGTTTAGTTGACAAGGTGGTGTTTGGTCAAAGGTTGGACTTGATGATCTTGCAGGTCTTTTCCAACCCTAATGGTTCTATAATTCTGTGACTGTAAGGCACATTTCCCAAAGCATCTGAGCAATGGCAGCTCACAGCTTGTTACAGTAAGAGCACTGAGAAGGGGGAGAGCTCCGCTTTGCTACCAAATCAACCCTCCTAGTTTATGCTGTTGTACTTACAGTTGAAATAGCAGTGCCAAGTACTAGCTCACCCATAACTGGGAACCTGTCCATTGCCTAACTGGTATCGGTACTAAATATTAATTCACTAGAGAGACCACAGTGATTCTGACAGATTCCAGAGCCAAGGTAATGGGAACCACAGTCTGGTTTTACAATATAAAAACTCTGAACGCTTCACAGGTCAGATATTACTTCTAATCCAGCTTTCAAGTGTTGTAAAAATGTTTACATTGATGGCCAAAATGTGTTCCTTCCTAATACACATTTAACTGGATTATGTAAATCATACACCAATGACAGATGCTTTTATCACATTTTGTAGTATCACAGAATGCCCTGGGTGGGAAGGGACCTTAAAGGTCTAGTTTCAACCCCTCTGCTGTTGGAATGAACACCTTCCACTAGACCAAGTTGCTCAGAGCTTCATCCAACCTGGCCTTGAACATTTCCAGGGATGGGGCAGCCACAGTTTCTTTAGGCCATCTGTTCCAGTGCCTCACCACCCTCATAGGGTAGAATTTATTCCTAATACCTAATCCAAACCCACTCTCTTTCAGTTTGAAGCCATTCCCCCTTGTCATGTCACTCCAGGCCCTTGTAAACAGTCTCTCTCCATCTTTTCTGTAGGCTCTCTTTAGGTCCTGGAAGGACTCAAATAGGTTACCCCAGAGCCTTCTCTTTTCCAGACTGAACAAACCCAATTATCTCAGTCTGGGCTGTTTTTGGTTTTTTTTTTCCCTTTCATCTCAGAGCTACTCTCACAAGTTCAAGCCTCACACCACTAGCCAGACTAGTTAGTAAACCCTAGTAGCACAGGCACATGAAAATATTCGTTGATGCTCAGCTCTGAGGGCAGAGAGTGTTTGTGTACACACTGAACCAGAAGAGCTTACCTTGTACAGACCCCTGCACCACAAAATGCCTAAGGATCAAAAACAGGCTGTGCTAATTACCTGCTCTGACCTCTGCACACCTGAGTTCTGACTTTGCCCTGGTTTAAAAGTGTGCTGCTCTGGAAAGACAGGCCAGTAATATATTTGTAATGTCGCGTAACAAGTCTCATGTATTAAGAGATTTACAGTCTCCTTACTGCAAAAGGTGGTAGTGTGATTAAGAGATCTTTAGCACATCATTAAAAGAACTGTCTAGCAGTTCCTTTCTTTACATAATAGCTACAGTACAACCTATAGTAGTCTAGTTTCCCAATATGATTTTTTAGCTTATATTCTTTATGCCTCTATGTCTTTATGTAAAAAACCCTTACATGCTCTTTGATTGCCCTGCTTTTGCTACTTGAGGATGCCTTGCAGAGAGTCTTGGGAAAAATAACTTTCCTTGATTAAATACTCTTAAGATGCATAAATAAATATTGTCACCATGAACACATTATAGATCAAAAATTACCATCATGTAAAAGCCTGTGTATCTAGAAAGTCAGCATTGTACTCCATACAGTATAGAACAGATCATATCCTAAAAGTGAAATTATATTATTAATGGGAGAAGATTAGAGAGAGTGAAAAGATTGGGACTTCACCCTGAAAATAACTTTCATCATTTCTCGGGAAGAAGATTCTACTCACTCTGAAATTAAAAACACATTCCACTTGACTTCAGCGTTAAGAGGATCAAGCACTAATAAACAAATCAATATATCACCTACCTTTTCAGTTCTCCCTTATTCTTAGCTTTAGAAAAAAAAAAAAAGAGATCCAATTTGAACACAGAAGCACAAATCACTGCAGTGTATCGTGTACCTTTTGTTGCTCAGAAAGAGCACCACACACTCAATTTCCCTTTTTTATGAGATACAAGAACACACAAATGTTGTTCTAAACAAACACATTCCTGTGCCAGATACTGTATAACACTATGAAACAAACCTGAACTCAGCTACCCAAACAGGTTTTACAACTGAGATAGTCTGGATAGAGTCAGGAATCAAAAGCAATTGAGACACAAGTAAATGGTTAAAGTAACCTAAAGATAGGTTAAAGTAACAAAATAAATTAGTCAGAATAAAGCACTGTGAAACTACTGATAGCAAAGACAATATGAGCACCAAGGTATGAAGGCTGAAATCTTGTGGGACTTGAATTGGCTTATGCTTATTCAAAAATTCTGAATATCATCCTCGGTGTATTTATCAATAAACTGAATAGATTCAGTTCTTCTTACCTGTGTTTTAAAAAGATATATTAAATTCTTGTGGTATCTGTTTTAAGAATTATTTAATCCATTAAATACAAGAGAAAAAATTTAGTTAAGTCTACTAACTTCAATAGGGACTACATAAGCTTTTGATTGCCTCTCTAAACAAACTCTAACAGGATACTTTACAGCTGATGTCCTTGTTAGCACATAGCATTGATAAGTGCCACAGTATTATGCATGAAAATGCTTAAGTATATTTAAAATAGAAATAGTTCATTATGCTGTGTTGGAAAAACACTTGTTTTTTCTTCATGACCACTTACTTTATAAAATTAGTATCAAATACTCTGATTTTCTACTAAGATTCCAGATGCTTATAACTCATGTAACTTATGTACTACTTAGACACTTTAATAACTTTTTACATCATAAACGTGAAATCTAAACATTCTACATGTCCATACATCAATGCAATCATTAGATAATTGTGTTTTAGCAGTTTATTATTGATTGACAGAAAGCAATATAAGAAATGAGACATTAATAAAGGGTAATTTGTTCCTGAATGCAGTTTACAATGTAGCAGAACATTGCTTTCATTATTGTAAGAATAGCTTGTCTCTCTCTCTAGTAAGACACAATACAGTAATATTATTCCCACAAGGAATGCAAAAGAAATCCATGTTCTCCACATTGCCCTGGTTCACATGTGAACAAAAGACTAGAATCCCAGCTGCATTTATAGTATAACACGCAGAAAAGAGTAACAAGAAGTACACAACAAATTAAAAGTCATACACAGAAGCACCAAGGTGTGTTGAGGTATTAGGCATTAGGCAAAATTGAACAGAATTACTGCTATTACATACAGACACATGTATACACACATACATATACACACACATGCAGGTTTGGATGTATGCATGTGCCCACTATGGGCAGAGATAATTCTGATCAACAAATCTGATCTTCCATCATCACAGACAGTCATTTATTGTGAGTATTCAGAGTCTAGAATAGTCTAGAGGAAGATGAAAGTACTACGAAGATAATCACTAGTTTGTTACTAATAATTCATCATCTCTGGTACTTTCTACAGTGTTCTGATAACACAGGAAATTTTCACCGTCTCTGAAAGTGTCAAAATCTGTATCAGAGATACAGATGGTGTGGTGTAAGAAGGGTTACGACTATTAATGATAAAATTCTTCAGTCCCTTATCTTAAGCTTGTTTTGGACAAAACCCACTGGGCTACCATTTGTCCTGCTGATAGCTTTCAAAGTAAGTATTTTTATTCAACAGAAGGGTAGCCATATCCAATATCCAAACCCATGCATTTCCTATTCAGTGAATGTGTTGAGGCTGATATAATTAGTAGATGAACAGCAATGTTTCCTAAATTGTTCACCCCTCCTAGCCAAGATGTGGAATTTTCCTCACCCCACAAACATAAATCAGCTGCTGCCTCTGTTCAACAAAATATTCTTACATGGGGATGCTGGAAACAATTTAAGCTATAACAAAATAGAAAAAAACTAAGGGGCAGGGGGAGGGAGGAGGTCAGGGTGCATTTCTGATGATTGAAAATGTAGTTCATTGTTTGACTTGGCATACAAAAACCCCCAAATTTCATTAATTCATAAATATCCCCATTGTGAAATACAATTACCTCTCATTTAACCTCTCATTGTTAGCCAATTCTTTGAAACCTTCTTGGTATAATGACAGGTTTTCTTTTTGTTGTGATAGCAAACGTACTGAATGGAGTTTCTGTCAAGTGCTAGAATGACTCAACTTTAGTCTTCAACTACACGGGAATTGGTTTCGGAAGAAACACTGAAATGGTGGGGGAAGGGATCATTATATAGAGAATCAGAGAAACTAGGTTAAAAAGGTATAGCCTAGACGCTCCTTGGCATTTGGAAAAGCCTGGATAGAGTCTCTCCCTTACCTCCTAAACAAGCAGTTGGAAGACTAATGAAATTGCTAAGGCTAATTTTCTATTTAATAAAGAACATTATGGATTTTCATTTTTTTTCCATCCCTGTTATAACACTAGAAATTCTTTCCATATATCATAAGAAATAAAGGGCATTTTTTCCTATCCAATGAATGTGTCCAATGTGAGGTTCAAGAGTATCTAGGCTGGCATATGCACTTGTTAAAATTTCTTAGATACTCAAAACCTCTTGTCTTCTCTGTTGTATCCTTTATTCTAAACATTACCTACACTGATTTTTGTTTTAAACTCTTAAACCAGTTTAAAAAGCACATAGCTTACCTGTTTCAAATTTACAACCACTATATATGAAAAGATATACACAGTGCTAAAATAGTTTTACTTTTTATAACTTTACATTTCCTAGATGTCTCCTTCTCTCCATTTTGTCTACAAGGTGCTTGCAACAAGGTAGAATGAAAGTTTTCTGAAATGTTAAGCTTGCAGCTGAAGTAGACAATGCCCTCTGCTTTTATTTTCATCCAGGTATAAAATTTAAAACAAGAACACGTACAGAAACTGCCAAGTGTTACTCTGTATTCACTATTCAGGCTTCAGATTTTCACTGGGAATAACCCACAGTAGAGTATCGTTCAGCGTACCAAAACTTGAAAGTCAGCATGGTACAACAGGAATGTGATTCTGTATATTTGCCAAATCTGATCATCCTGAAATAGTTCATCAAACATTCTCGCTTTCCTATATGTTTTATATACAAATGCTTTAAAATTTATACTCTTTGAAAAAAAGATTTTAGTCTTTTTTTTGGAAAATTTGGAAAAAGAAGTCTTATTCTGGAAAATACCCCAAGCCTGGTGATGTTTTTTTACAGGAACGTTGCTGCTATTGTAGGGAAAGGAAAGCGTCACAAACGTTCTGAAATGGTGCAGAACACAGAAGTACTCCATTCATTACTCTCCTACAAGGTATTCCAGGATCAGCTCAGGCCAGCAAGAGGCACTTTCACTTACTTCTGGCGTACCAGCTTCCAAATTGGCTCATAAATCATCTCCTGGGGACACTCTTAGGATTGTTCAGACAAGGTGCTGAAGAGGGAGGCAGTCATTAAAATGGAATCAATTTCCCTGAGAACTGGTATATAAAGAACCAAGCACCGTTCAGAGTTTGCTGTTAACGTGAAATCACTCAACCTACATTAAAGTAAAAGTTCAAGGTTTTGTTTACACTATCCAGAAAGAGAAAACTGACACGTTTATCTAAGCCATGGCTGAAAAAGAAAAAAAAAAAGACTGTGAATACCACATTTACTCTACGTCTAAGCCTACACTTAACTTGACTTGTTGTAGAAGGATTTCCTGACACACTGTTCGTCACAAACTGTTCTGTGAAAAAAAAAAAAAAATCCACATGTATACATCATCATCAACATTATGCATCCACCTACTTTGTGGATACACCAGCTTTTACAGTTAACTTCGTTTTAGTATTCTGTATAGGGTTTAAAGTGATTTAATCTTTCCCTGACTCTAAATAATGTAAAAAACCAAACTTACTGAGAAAACATTCTTCTCTTTCTCTAACATAAAAATTAAACTAATTCCTCGGTGGTGCAAATGTTTATCAGATCAAGTGTCATCTCCTGTACCCAGCTGTACTACAACAGCTGATTACAACAACACAATCACAGTCTCTCATCATTCCCTGTATTCCCTATCTCCAGTAGGGGCTGTATTTCACATTACTTTGTATTTTAACAAACATACTGGTAAAAACTTTTCAGAGGTTAAAGGTATCTAGTTCAAGCTCCTGAGATGAAATATGAACCACTTGAAAATAACAGAGGCTTGGGAATAACCACACACATCCACTATCAAGATACACTGCAACAGATATTTCGAAGTCAATCACTTGAAAATACCAAAGACTTCAAAAGAAAAGTCATTCAGCTAACTAAGACTGGAACATTTATTCTAGAAAGGTCAATAATGTTCAGGTGCTGCCCTCTACAACTCAAGAAATTCCATAAAAGAAAACATATTCCCATTTTCCCTTGATGATAGAAGAAATTTTCACTCTATTTTGATTTGCACTGATGTAACATTCCTCCTGGAAATGTTAAACCTCCTTTTTTTTTTTTTTTCCCCCCAGATATGAGAAGTATAAACAAATTACATCTGTAGTAGTTGAAAAGGAGAAACATTCATATACATATGAATTCATATACATTCCCATCATGCAGAAGGGTATAAACATAGTTAAAAAGGGGAGAAAATTTTGAGTTGCTGTGATTATATTTAGTTCCTATTCATCTGTGCTTTACAGATTTGATCACATCTAGGATCATAGCATCATCACAGAATGGTTTGGATTGGAAAGGACATTAAAGTCTTTCGCATTCCAATGCCCCACCGTGCACAGGGACACCTTTTACTAGAACAGCCTGGCCTTGAACACTTCCAGGGATGGGGCACCCACAACTTCTTTGGCCAACCTGTTCCAGTGCCTCACCACCCTCATAGGGAAGAATTTCTTCTTGATATCTAATCTAAACCTACTCTCTTTCAGTTTGAAGCCATATCCCCTTGTCCTGTCACTCTAGACCCTTGTAAAAAGTCTCTCTGCATCTTTCCCGTAGGTTCCCCTCCGGTGCTGGAAGGCCACAATTAGGTCACCTCAGAGCCTTCTCTTTCCCAGGCTGAAAAATCCCAGTTCTCTCAGCCTTTCCACACAGGAGAGGTGCTCCATCCCTCTGATTCTTGGTGGCCTCCTCTGCAGTCACCAACAGGTCCATGTCCTTCGTGTGCTGGGACCCCAGAGCTGGAGGCAGCACTGCAGGTGGGGTCTCACCACAGCAGAGCAGAGGGGCAGAATCCCTTCCCTTCACCTTGGAAGAACCAAAGAAGCAAAAGCCATGGTGAGCAGGCAACACTATTTATTCTCTGTGGACAAGACATTAATGTTTCCAAAGATGTCCTACCGATATTGGTACAATGTCCAAAGCAGTTTCTTCATTGCTTTGTGTTATATTGATGCCATAGAAACAATGAATAAGGGGGTTATTTCTGCTCACAAAAAAGGCTTATTTACTGTTGTTGCAGATTTTCAGTGTGGATGTACTCTTGCATTGCAACACCAACATATTACCTCAACAAAAAGTAACTGTAGGTTTGAGAAATTACATCTGAGTAAACATACTGTATACAATCTTTTCTATTCTTCCAGAATTAAGAATTCCTTCATCTATACCAAAGGAACATTACAATAATGGTACAAAACCCAACAAAAACCCCATTTTATTCTACAAATATAAACCCTTTTCTATTTAGCAAATCTTGCAAGATAGTTTGTGTGCTACTTTGTGGCTTTTGTCATCTAGTGACCACTATTTCCAAAAAAGTTGGATTTTTATATCTTTCAACATGATTTTGGTACTTTGAGGATATATTTACTGCATTTCAAAGCACTGTGTGAATTATTTCTGTTCACATTTATGTATTTATTGTCTGACATGAAAATTATGTTGCTATGAAACAAATTAATCCTAAATTAGCTTTTCAATAAATTTAGGTGTATGTGAAGTTACTGGGAAAACAAAACTATGCTTGTTATCTATATGAAGTATGGGAACGTAATAAATAGTTTTTCACATGAAAGTATAATATTACATGCTAAATTATATACAAGAATGTATTAAATCATAAAAATTTTATATGTATTTATTTTATAAATAAAATATATAACTATATGTATTGATATAATATAAAAAGATATTTAATTATATATAATTAGATATTTTATCTATAAATGTAAAAAATTGGGTTTTATTTTATTATAGATCTAACAAATAGAAGTTACAGGGGAGTTTTCATGATATGTTGTGAAAATGTGTATGAATAGCTTATCAAAAGGTTTTAGAGAGCTTAACTCTAGAATATACCATTTCATAGTGGATTTTAACTCGTTTGTGGTAGGTTCATTGACGTCATTGATATACTAGAAAACAAGTATCACACAAAAGCCCTCTTTTTAAATAGTTATAATACTGCATGATACCACAGACTAGCAGGAACCAGAGCAGATTGTTCCTGGGTTACCTACCTGCCATTCCGACAGATGAAGACCCATCTTGCGAAGGATGTAAAATGAGGTCAGAAATTAAATCTAAAGGCCTCCTTCTAGAAAGCTGCCAGCCTCACTCTCTGGCTGCTTTGGGTAGGGGCTATCCAGGGAGCTACATACCTGGGAGAGGGATGTTCAAGGATCCAGAGGCATCTGGGGGACAGTTGCCTGGGAAGGGGCTGTGTCGCAGCCCAAGTGAAGGACGAGGCACGGACGACACGAGGATTTCTTCACTCTATGGTAGGCTTCATTGGTGGTAGATGGAGTGAAGATCTTACCCCTTCACTAAGCGGAGGACAGGCCTTTTATAGTGTCTGGGGTAGAAGGGACTAGAACTTGGGAGGAGCTTCAGGATTGACATGAGGGTACAACCAATAGGGAAATCACAAAATGTATGACATAACCACCAACCAATCCCATGAACTGACAGTGTTAACTGTACCGCCCATACTGCAGCAAATTTCAACCTATCAGAGAAGGGGAAATCTCAACCAATCAGGGAACAGTAAATTCATGAAGGGAAAAGCATATTCCAACATAGTATAATCAATATAATCAAAATACAACATCAAACACTATTTCAAACTGTCCAAACATGTCCAAACATGTAAAGTCTATAACAAGTCCTTTAATATCTCGCGTAGACTGCTATCCACTTCTCATATCTTTCCCTTTCTTTCTTCTTATTCTCCTCAGGGCTGAGCTCAGGGACCTCTGGGGCAATGGGCTTGTTGTGGGATGGCATCGGCAGCCCTGGGAGCTCAACCCCAGCATCTGACAGGCCCAGGATGCCACAAGCCTGCACCTTCCAGCATGGCATCCACCCGGGACTCTCTGCAGCACCCACGGCTCCCACACCCTGCACGCACCTTCAGAAACCCTCCAGCCTGGGTGGAGCTAATGACTGGGAGAAGGAGGGGTTTTGGTGCTGGAGCAGTGGGAGGTGCATGGTGTGGGATCAGCAGGGCCTCTGCAGTGTGGTGGTGTGTGGGAAAGGCTGTGGAGCCTGAGCAGGAAAAAGTGCAGGAAAGCCCCACGTCTGCATATCTTGGCTTTGGAGTCTACAGGGAGTGAATATGTTGAGCATCTGTCTTGGCACCCTCACAAAAAAGACCCCAAACCTCCCCACCACAGGCTGTGCTGCCCCTTTCACACATCACTCCAAGTAGGGGACATGGCCCAGTGCCCACTGCCAGCAGCAGGAATCCAGGCAAAGGAAAGATTGTTGGATTGGCTTTAGTGTCTTGAAGGGCACGGGGTAGTTCCATGGGAATGGCAATCAAAGCCCAGAGGGCTTGGAGGTTCAAAACCTTAAATATCAGCCATTTCCAACTGCAAAAGCTTCTCCCTAGATCCTGGCTCTAGACTTTCGCAAGACATTCATGGCCTTCAGGACATCAGTTGGGATTTTACATCCCAGCAGCTTCATCCTGGCTCTCACCCCAGAAGTCCCTTTGCCTCCCCCAGGAAGGGGAGCAGGAGGCTTCCTGCCTGCTTTGGTGGCACTGTTGCAGAGGCCAGTCATGTCAGACCCCCCTCTCTGCTGGTGACAGCTTTGCTCTTGGGGATACAGCTCTGCACCAGCCCATGAACATCAGGAGTGCCCAGTGTGGAACCTCTGTTAGTGGGACTCCTCTGTGCACAGGTCCCCCCAGACACCCTGGGGGGGCTGTGCCAGCACTCCCAGACACCTCCAGCCCCAAGAATGTGGAGCAAGTGGAAACCACAATGCTACAAAGGCTGCAAGGGCCCAAAGCAAATGCAGAGAGCTGGGGTGTGAAGAACAAAGACTATTTATTGTCTTAAGAGAAGATAAACCAATGAACTACAGAACATATTTACATTGTAAGAATCTTTATAAAAACAACAACCTGTAAAATATATTTACAATTGAACTTATCTAACAGCAAAACATTTACCATACATATTTACAGGAAAAAAAAAACAACCAGTAAAACATATGTACAGAGGGTCATTTCTCCTCCGGCATCTCCGTCAGTCCTGGAAGAAAAGCAAGGGCACGGTCATTCCAGTCAGGCCCTGCTGGATGTTCCATGTGCCACCAGCCCAGGACCCGCTGGGCAGCGCTGGCCTCTGCCGCCAGGACTGAGCCTGGCTGGGGATGGGAGCCGGGCCCCAGCTGGTAGGACAGGGGGTTGTGCGGCCCAAAGCAGGCACAGGGCAGGGCAGGGGTGGTAACTGTGCCACCAGAATCCAGGGATGGGACACTGTGTCCCTGAGCAAGCTCACCCAGCCCAGCCCAACCCCCAGCCTGGCAGCAAGAGACCCACTCTCCCTGTGGGCAGGGAATGGGGTGTACTTGCCTGTCCTGTTGCTAGAGCATCTGTCCTCATCCCAAAATTATCTCCTCCTCTTCATCGTGTAGATCAACATCCATCTCCTCTGGATCCTCTTTCAAGTCAATTTCCATCTCCTCCACAACATCATCTATGTCAATGTCCATCATCTCTTCCAAATCCACGACTGTGTCGACTTCCATCTCTTCTTCCACATCTCTCTCAATCTGCATCAGGTGGCACAGTCTCAGAGAGGGGTCCCTGTCCCACACCATCCCCACAGTGCTCCATCCCATCCGGGCAGCTGTGGGGGCCCATCTGCATGGAACGGCAGTGTACCTTCTTTGGGATGAGGTTGCCCATCCTGCAGGGGTGGATACTGAGCTCCAGTCAGCAGGTGCAGTTCCGGACTGGCGGGCAGAGCAGGGGCAGCTGACGAGGGCGTGCTGGCACAGCCGACGGCAGCGCTGGCAGCAGGGGAATGGCTGCGTTGTGCTCATCGCCTGTGACTTGCAGTTCCAGCTGGAACATGGGCTCTGGGAGCTCTGATGTCACAGGCTGCCCAGGGCCCAGGACTCCACGGTGGTGACCATAGAATGATGGAATCGTGGGATAGAATGGTTCTAAAGGGATCCTTAAAATCACTTCCTTCCAACCTGACCAGCCTTCCATCAGACTAGGTTGCTCCAGGCCCCTTCCAGCTGAGCCTTAAATGTTGCCCAGGATGGGGCATCCACAGACTCTTTTGAACAACCTCTGCCACTGCCTCATCGTCCTCCCCATAAAGACAGTTTTCCTAACATCCAGTCTAACCCTATCCTCTTTCAGTTTGAACCCATGCCCCCTTGTCTTGTGACTACAGTTTCTGAAGAAGAGTCCCTCTCTGGCTTCCTTGGAGGCCCCGTCAAAGCCTGGAAGGTTCCTCTGAGGTCTCCATAACATTTTTTCTTCTCTAGGCTGAACAGCCCAAATTTTCTTAGCCTTTCTTCATAGGGGAGGTGCTCTAAGTCGCTTTTGCAACTTTGTGGCCTCCTCTGGTCTTGGTCCAACAGTTCCACAAAGGGAAGGGGAGAGTAGGAGAAAATGAGCAGGAGCAGTGCAGGAAGCCTGAAGGAGAGGGGTGCATAGGCTTTTGATCCTGAATGCACGTGTCTGAACTAAATGATGCCCTTGGTATGTCTTCCAGTGCTGTGGTGATGTTTCTGGTGAGGAAGTTCCAAGG